GGGTTTTGTTGTTCTTTTACTAAGAAGTTGACTTCACAATGATTGTATTATAATCTTGTTAAAAACGTTGTTAAGGTGACTTTATGGTCTTATTTGGAACAAGGAGCATTTCACTTATAATTTTTTTTGTTATAATACTACAATATAATCTTAATTTCTGAAACTTAAGATTAAATAGGTTATGAACTCTTTTTTAATTTTTCAAAGGATACGAAGATGATTTCAAAGTTTTCTTATTTTTACTTTACAACTCGCATTTGGTTTAATTCATATTTAGTCTATCATTAAAGATGATTATATTATAAATTATTTTTTAAAAGTAATTACAATATAAAGTACTCATTAATCGTCCCATGCATAATACGGATTTAAAACTAGTATGATAATTAAGATTCAAAATTAGAAATCCTTCTTTCCCTTATGGAGTTCCTCATATCCTTAAAAATATTGTATAATGTAAAAATTAAAAAAAAAAACAATTATTACATAAAAGGAAGAATAGTCATCGAAATTAAAGGAATTGATGTTAAAAAGGCACATTAATTAGTTGTAGAATCAATTAATTTGTCTATAAATTCCTAAAATATAATACTGACTTTACCCTTCACCCCGTATTTTTTGTCCATTTTTATTCCTCAAAATTATGTTTTTCTTAACATTTATTTTTTTATATTTTAAAATTACTTTTTATGATTTTTGTTTTTACCTTTTAACATTAAAAATCATAATTAATGATACATCAATCTTTAAAAAAAATTATTTGTAATGTAATAAAATATATTAAAATCAAATTATTTTAACATTAGCTTTGTATATGTGGCATTTTGACTGGTTAGGAATATAATTGATGATCACGTGAATTAAATAAAATGCTCACACTATCATTTATTTTAATCCACGTCAAATTTTAAGATTTTAATTTATTTTTTAAAATATTAATTATTAATTTGTTAATAATTAAACCAAAAAATAGAAAATAATTTTGCAAACAAAAAAAAATCGAAAATCTCGATATCGAAAATCACTAGCTCTTCTAAACACAAACTCTATTTGGTTTGAAAAAAATTTTTTATTTTAATTTTCTAAAAAACAGTTTTTGAATTCCATCTGAAAAATTTTGATAAAGAAAACAAATTTTATTTTCTAAAACTATAAAACAAAATAATAATTATGAAAATAATAATTATTAATAATATCTAATTATAAATATATAATATATAATATATATTTATTAATTAATAACTTTTATAAAATTTCAAATGTGGAGTCAATTTCTTAACTCGCAAAATATATACAAAAACATAATGAGTTGTTTTCATAATTAAAAACTTTTTTTTTTCATATTTGACTCTACTTTCTTTTTTATTTTTTAAAAATTTATTTTCATTTTTATTATCAAACAAGTTTTCACTATTAATTGTTATTTTTCATAAAAATAAACAAATGACACTATTTTCTCAAATCTAATTTTAGAAATGTCAAATGAATTGGACAGTCAATGACACAATAAAATTCAATGATACGAATTGTAATCGACACGATCTATTATTAAGTAATTAAGTTCTATCAAGTACGATATATATATGTACGTGTGTGTGTACCATGCTAAGCTAAAATAATTTAGGCTTATAAATCGATATGATACAACACGATCCATTAAGGACTAATGCCAACACATGACATTTGGATTAGCTTTTGAGCATATTTATATTATTTTTTGTATCGCAATGAAATTATATTTATTTTTAATTTTTTTTAGTAATTAATAAAATAAAATTATATTAATATTACTTATTAAATATTTTAGTTATTAATAGATAAATTATATTTAACTAGTGATTAGCAAAAATAAAATGACAAAAACAAATTAAAAGTTTATGTTAAGTACAAATTCAATATACAAAATAAATCACTATAAGATGAAAGGTATAAAATAAATGCACAAAGCATCGCATTATATATGTGAATTATTAGATGTTAGAATGAAAAATAAAATAATAATTTTGTGTTTTATAATATCTCTTTATATATGTGTTTACATTTTTTGAAATATTAAAATTGTAATTTCAATATTTTTATTTAATGGATTCTATTATTCTATTTCGTAGATATAATTATTTTATTGAACCACATAAATTATATGTTATTTTATTTTTATTTATTCTCGTATGTTATTTTTAATAATAGATAAATTTTTTAAAAAAATAATTAAAATTTTAAAAAAAAATTATTAATGAGTTGTACTTTAGCTCATTTTGATACGAAAAATAGTATCCTGCTTGGCACAACAAAATCTATGAAAATTACAAGTCATGTGCCATAGTAAGCCTTATCGTTAATTTTTATGGACCATGCTAGCATGGAAAATTAAAAATAATGTTTGATCGGCACAATTCATTAACATACAAATTAATATTTAAATAATCTATGCCAATCAAGCACTAACCATTTTATACCTATGCCAACCTTCCTAACGTTCTCGAATGCTTCAAACTCGTCTAATCAGGAACTCAACATCATCAAAACCTTTCATGATATTGACCAAGAGATAGCACCACCTGTTTCATTCCCAAAACCAAATCCCCCAGGAAAAACAATTCTTCGCCGCATAGTTTTCTGCATTTTCTGCATTGCAGCCTCTGCTCGCTTATGGAAAAGTCAGTGTGAAAACAGCTAGTATTTTAACGTGTAAATTCTAACAAAATATTAAGCCACAAAATTCAACGGGGACTAAGAAAGACGGAGTCTATCACGAGATTACTATTTGCTTTAATCAAGCTGCGTGGCACCCACCATGAAATTGACAGCAAGACCATAAAAATTGACTCATAATTTTAGTTCATTTCTTTTGTTTTTGATGTACGATAGGTTCATATCAAGATCGAAGAAAGCAAGTAAAATAGTTGCCCGGCTTGACAAGATTCTAAAGTAATTAGAATTCTCATGCTATCTAGTATTTCATAAAATAATAAGAATTAGACTGATGATTGAACGTGTCAAATGAACAAAACATTGCGACATTGCAATAGAGACAGCCATTGAAGCAAAACAGGGTTGGATGGCCGATGGCTTGGCCCTTGTTCCTCCTTACCAGAACAATGATCTTTTATTCATGGTGACAACCCGCACTAATGGCTATCTAAAATGTTGGAAATAGACAAGATTTATGTTTAAGCTTGTTGATAGATCCATCAACTTTGGTATGTCTTGGCCATTTTTGCTTTTGTCTTGCGTGTTTTAAACTTCGCTCTCTCAGAAAAATCAGTATGCAATACTCAGTAGCTGACTTGCAATTGCCAACAATTATGGCAGATAGCAGGGAAACAGCTAATAAGTAGAGATGAAATTTACTACGAAAGTGCACTTTGCTTTAATTCTGCCTTGTGCTACCACCACGAAAGTGGCAGCAACAACATAATATTGATTCAGAATTTATGTCATTTCGCTTGTTTCTTTTCACTTTCCTTGGCACTTCCTTTCTCTTACTTTTTTTTTCTTTTCACTATTCTTTATTATTTCCTAATTAATATAAATCAAGATGGTAACATAGACTTCCACCACCTTTTACCACTAGCTGATTAGCTATTTCTTTGCTCCATACTATCTTATACCAGGTTTTATAGTTAGCAAGGAATTTTGTTTTTTCTTACCTGCTCTAAGCCTTCCTTTCTTCACTGCGTTTTATCGCTGATCGAGGCCCTGCAGAAGTGTAAGCCTGTCAAGGTGTTCAAAGCAGGTAACTTTCAATTCAGTTTTTTCGTTTTTTTTTTTTTAAATTTCTGCTCATTACCAGGGAAAAATTGCTTGCTTGATTCGGTATCAAGCTTTCATGACATGCCTTGTTTGGGATTTGTTTTTGTTTTTCCACTTTCACTAAGATGATGACTTTACAGCAATTGAATTTTAACCTTGTTAAGAACATTGTTCAGATGATTGTATGTTTTTGTTTGGAACATGAATATTTGGTCAAGCAAGATGAACAATTGTGATAAAATCATTCCATTGAGCTTTAATTATGATAGTAGTAAGGGTATTGCTGAAAATCAACAAAATGTTTAAGATCTTACCAGTGGTAAGGCGGAGGCCTAGGATCGTATGATCAAGTTGTCTCGGGTTTGATTCTCAGTCATGTGAGTTTTTGGAGATCTGATATTGACAATTTCCATTCCCCCTAATATTTGGCAATGTTTATATGGAAGTCCTGTTGATAGCTGATGGATCTCAATTTGCCATACATAAGAAAAGTAAATTTTACAGCACTTGACAATCCCAGGCCTTAAATTGGGTAATCTGCTTACTGTTTCTTATTCTTAAGAGCTGATGGTTTTGATAGACCCGCAAACGCCAACAATTATGGCAGACAGCAGGGAAACAGCTAATAAAAAAAGATGGAACTTACTCCGAGATTGCACTTTGCTTTAAGTCTGCCTTGTGGCAACTGCCATGAAAATGGCACCAAGACCATAACAATTGATTTGACTCATAATAATTCAGGTCATTTTGCTTGCACTTTCCTTGGCAGTTTCTTTTTGTTACTTTTTTTACTATCTTTTCACTACTCTCTCTATTATTCTTAGTTAATATCAATCAGACTTCCACCTGCTTTTATCACTAGCTAATTAACTATTTCTTTGCTCCTTAAATGTCTTCTACCACGGTTCCATAGTTACCAAGGAAGTTTGCTTCTTGCTATCTGCCAGCCCTTTTTTACTTCACTGTTTTTTCTTCCCTGTTCGAGGTCTTGCAGAATTATCAGGCTACCAAGAGGGTTCAAATTTGCAGGTAATTTTCAGTTAAGTTATTTCCAATTTCCTATGACGTTGACTTTACAATGATTGTATTTTAACTTTGTTAAAAACATTGTTCAGATGATTTTATATGGTCTTGTTTGGAACATGAATATTTGATCAAGCAAGATAAACAATTGAGATTCGACTTAGCTTTAATTATAAAAGTAGTACCGGGTATTGCTGAAAATCAACAAAAAGTTTAATTTATTGATGTTCAAAATTGATATTATTAAGTTTGTTTATAGGTGTATTACGCTATTTTTTGAGATAAACGGAACGATTCAAACCCTGCAAGTTATCGTGTTATCTTCCTCCTACTCCATGTTGACTCCGTCTTCTTCATCATCTTCTTCCATTTATCCATTGAAATACGACATTTTCTTGAGTTTTAGTGGTAAAGATACCCGAATGAGCTTCACGGACCATCTATATGCTGCTTTAAAGCGGTACAAAATCAACACTTTCAGGGATGATAACAACCTTAAAAGAGGCGAGGAGATCGCACCCGAGCTCTTGAAAGCAATTGGAGAATCATGGGGTTCGATAATCGTTTTTTCGGAAGGATATGCTTTTTCAAGTTGGTGTTTAGATGAGCTTGCCGAGATTGTGAAACAGAGGAAGGAAAGGGGACAGCAAGTTTTTCCAATTTTCTATGATGTTGAAGTCTCCGATTTAAGACATCAAAGAGAGAAGGTTCAACAAGCCTTTGCCATGCATGAAGAGAGATATAAGGAGAACAAAGATAAGACGCAAAGGTGGCGAGATGCTTTATCCCAAGTGGCTAATATCAGTGGATGGACTTCGAAACATCAGTAAGTTATAACTTCTTTTGTTTATCTTTTGTAAGTTCAAACTCAAGACCTTCAATCCTTGACTTGACTCCAGTAATACTAAACTAACGGTTAATTGGTAGTTATAACTAACAGTTAATTGGTAGTTATAACTCTTTTTTTTTTTTGGATAATTTGTAATTTTATTGCCTAAAACAGTAATTCACTGCTACCAATATACAACTCATATAATTCCATCTGCCACTCTGGCTACTATACAGATATATCCCTTCTTAAACCCCAATTTTCACATAAATCTTTATTTACACTATCAAAAGCAATATTTTCCAGCTCCATCAATCTCGATTGTATCACTTCTTTTATCATTTTAAGGATCTTCCCTTCATTACTTTCTGCAGTAGCAAACTGCCTTTTGTTCCTTTCTCTCCAAATCAGGTAAATATATGCACCCTATGCCAGTCTCAATATGATAGATATTAGTGCCTTGCCTCTCAACCTACTTACAGCCCAATGGAATTCTTCTTCCCAACCAGATACCTCTCTATGTAAGTTGCAGAGCTGTAAAACCTGTTTCCACACGGCTTTAGAGTAATTGCAACTAAAGAAGATATGGCTCCTAGACTTATCCTCCTTTTTGCATAGCACACAGCCTGTTTCGTTTGTAATCCCCCATGCGTTCAATCTATCCTTGGTAGGAAGTCTATTTAATATCACCATCCAAGCTATGATTGCATGTTTGGGTACATGCAGCTTGCACCATATTAGCCTGTGCCACACCACCTTCATCTGTTTCGGTCTCAATTCTTCCCATATAGCTGTAACTGAGTTCCTAGTTCCTCTCCCATTCCATCCCATCCCTTCCTCTGTTTGCAATCGAGTGGCATGTCTCCTCATTTGTAATAGTTTTTCATGCTCCAACTGCTACTTTGTGTAATAGGCACCTCCCATATGTTGCGCCCTTTAAGCACATAATTGTGCACCCATGCAATCCACAATGAACCAGCTTGTGAGGAAATAGACCATAGATTTCTAATCATACAAGCCTGATTCCATATGAACAAGTCTTTTAACCCGAGTCTCCCTTCGGATTTAGGCCTACATAAGAGTTTGCCAGTTAACCCTTGCCCCTTTAGCTGATTCATGCTACCATTTCCAGAAGTTCCTTGAACATAGCTGTATTACCTTTTGGATCACTCTCTGTGGCAGCATAAAATGTCTGCAGCCGTAGCTTTGAATACTAAATATGATCGATTGTATCAGCTACAATCTACCTGCATATGATAAATTTTTGGCTGCCCAACTACGAATTCTTGTTGTTATCTTCTCTATTAGTGGAGTACAATCCTTTACGGAGATCTTACGTGCAACTAATGGAACCCCAAAGTATCTTACAGGGAGCGTACCTAGTTTGAATGCTGCCACCTACACTATCTCTTGTAATGCCGTTCTCGGAACATCAGTGGAAAACAGTTCACTCTTCTCGCAATTAAGAGTCCCGAATATTTGATTTAATATGTTATAACTCTTTCTTTCTTTACTAAAGTTTTTTTTTTTTTTTCGTAATTTATCAAATAAAAAATGTGTCAACAAATCTTTAGATTTAATAAAAATATAGATTTTAATTGATTGTTTATTTGATATCATTTTCATTTTCAGTTTCACTAAGCTATATTTTTTTTATAACTATAAATGTCTGTTTTCTTTTTTGTAGGTATGAATCAAACTTCATTGAAGATATTGTTAAAGAGATATCAGCAAAATTAGTTGTCAAAAAAACTGTAAGTCATTTTACAAAGGCCATAGAGTTGATTATTATTGTTTTTTTTTTAAAGAAAAATTACTGTCTAGTTAGTATGATTATCTGCTAATGAAAAATGAGTTGCTAGCTAAATCTTATTATATATGACATTAGGTTGTAAATTCAATAAATTAAGATTAGACCATATTTTAAAATTACCATGTTAATTTAATGTGATCTAATTCATATTATTAATGTAAATCCACCCAATTTTTATTATGACAAATTTTCATAATATATTGTATTTTAATTTCCTTTTTCTCATCCAAAAAGTTTTTTTTTTAAATAAAATGATAGATACTAATTTCTTACTATGAACTTTTCTTTTATGGAATTTTAGTGGATAAATAAATCCAATATATTACTACATACTAAGAATAGCTCTTTTAAAAATCTAGAAAGAAATTAAAATTCTTACATATACAGTTAGAGGTGCGCATAGGCTAATCCTACCTATTTTAAAGTCAAAAATATTTTTATTTTAATATTGTTAAATATATTTTTTAAAAAAATGTTATTTATTTATAAAATACTATAATTAATCGGACAAAACCTAGGGGCTAAAAACTTAAGCCTAAGCTTACGCTATAGAGTTGGACAGGTAGTCCAATTATTGAACGCTTTTAATATACCTTAAAGTAATCTAATTATGACTATTAGACTAGCGAATATGGCCTTCCTTTTATTCTTTGTTTAATATGATTTGTACAATTACACTTCACACGAAACAGTTTTCAATAATTTTGGATTGATTTCTTCTAAAATACTAAAGCTAATTTACTAGGGATATAAAATTAATGGTTCTTTTATCAAACAATGCATCTTGATTGGCACCCTTAATAGTCAACTTGTCTAATTAAATTAAAATTTATTGCTTAGAAGATACGAGAAGTTGACGAACTTCTTCAACAGGGTAAGTTTCAGGATAGTCTGGTTGTTGACGACCTTGGGAGGATTGGACAAAAGCTATCTACAACAACTTTAGTCGGTGATGCTGCAAAGATTTGCATGGAAGAAATTTGCAAATATTTGATGGATGATGGTGTCTCAAAGATTGGAGTTTGGGGAATGGGAGGGCTGGGTAAAACGGCTGTCATGAAGCATGTCAACAACCAACTTTTAAAGGAGACTGAAAAGTTCAACATCGTGATATGGATCACTGTATCAAAGGAGATGAACATCTTTAAAATACAAAACAGCATTGCAAAAGCAATGCAAGTATCCCTTTCTGAAGTTGAAGATGAAGCAATAAGAGCAGGGTTCATAAACGAAATGTTGTCTCAAAAAGGCAAGTATGTGTTAATCTTGGATGACCTATGGGACAAACTTTCTCTTGAAGAAGTAGGCATCCCTGAGCCTTCTGATGGGAGTAAACTAGTGGTAACAACCCGGTCATCAGATGTGTGGCGCTGTTTGGGTTGTCGAGAAGTTCAAATGCGTACTCTTTCAAAACCAGATGCATGGAGCCTATTCTCGCAAAAAGTAGGTCAAGATGTTTTGACTGACCCACATCTCTTGCCCATTGTGGAATCCGTTGCTGAAGAATGCGCTGGTTTGCCCTTGGCTATTGTTACAATAGCAAGCAGCATGAAGGGTGTACGGGACATTCATGAGTGGAGGAATGCACTCAATGAATTAAATAGACATGTAGAAAGTGTGAGTGGGGTGGAAGGGAAGGTGTTTCAACAGCTTCAGTTCAGCTATGATCGTTTACACGATCAAAAATTGAAGCATTGTTTCCTCTGTTGTGCATTTTATCCTGAGGATGATGAAATCTTTGCATTTGAGCTAATAGATCTATGGGTTGCAGAGGGGCTTGTGGAAGAAATGGATAGCAGGCAATTGGAGGTTGACAAGGGGCATGCCATATTGAATAAACTAAAAAACAGTTGCTTGATTGAAAACGGTACCAAATATCCAGATACTGTGAAAATGCATGACATTTTGAGGGATATGGCATTACGTATCACAAGTACAAGACCACGGTTCTTGGTGAGAGCGGGATTGCGGTTGAAAGAGATACCAAAGGTGCAAGAATGGAAAGAAGATTTGGAGAAGGTATCTTTGATGCTGAATTATGAATTACAAATTCCATGCCAAATTTCACCACCAAGGTGTCCAAAGCTCACAACCTTACTGTTGTCCTATTGCGGTATAAAGAGTATTCCAGAGTGTTTCTTTAAGCAAATGCATGGACTCAAGATTCTTGGTCTTTCTGGGAATCTTATTAAAAGTTTGCCAAATTCCATCTCTAATTTGGAAAATCTCACTACATTGTTGCTTGATGAGTGTGAAGATTTAGAGAAGGTGCCGTCTTTTTCAAAACTTCAATCTTTAAAGATGTTGGACCTTAGAAATACAAAAATCAAGGATCTCCCTCATGGGTTGGAAAGGCTGGTAAATCTCAAATATCTTGATTTGAGTTGTACGAATATAACAGAAGTGGCCGATGGAATATTGGCAAATTTCACATCACTTCAGCACTTGGCAATACTGAATTTTAACGAAGCAGCTGACAGATTCGAGGGAGGAGAAGAAGTTAACAGATTCGTGAGAGGAGAGGAAATAGGTCGATTATGGAAGTTGGAATACTTTGCAGGGGGATTTTATGACTTGAATGAGTGGAACAATTATATCAAAGTTTTGCATGCTCCAACAGAAGGGCCTCGTCAATACTACATTTTCGCCGGTGAAGCACCATTTTTTATCTTTCCATCGGAGTGGAAAAAAGTAATTCAATTAAATAGTCGTAACATCTGCACAGATGGTATTAAGGTCCTATCTGATGTTGAGGGCTTGGGAATTGGGGAGTGCATTGTCGATTTGTGTGAAGAAGAGGCATTTTCCTCGCGGTTTATCTTACCGCCACATAATGTTTTTTCCTCTCTTTCTGATCTTTACATAAGTGATTGTAAAAATATAAAGAAGTTGTTCTCGTCCAATTGGGTCTTGCAGAACCTCCAAAATTTGAAATGCTTATCTGTTGGGCATTGCGAGGATATGGAAGAAATAATAGCACCAGAATCAGAATCGGAGGAAGAAGTAATAAGTGCCATCAATTTTACTCTTCCCAAATTAAAGGAATTGTGCTTGGGATGGCTACCAAAATTGAAGAGCATTTGTAGTGCAAATGGAGTAATGGTTTGTGATTCTATTGAGGAGATTACTATAACACAGTGTCCAAAATTGAAGAGGCTACCTCTGTATCTTCCTCTGCATGGCGATGGCCAACCATCTCCCCCTCCTTCTCTTAGAAAGATTTCAATTTCTCCATTGCAGGGGCAATTGGTTGAGTGGGACCAGCCAAATGCCGAGTCTTTGTTGAAGCCTTACTTTAAGTGGTGATAGTTACATGTTCGTTGAAATGTCTGACCATTACAGCGTTCACTGTTACTTATTCTTTTTCTGTTGAGACAGGAGGAAATTACTCCTGGCCACAATGGTAGCTTATTTCTAACACTTTCTTTCCTTCTTTCTTCTTAATCTCTCTCCATATTAACTTTCTTATATGTTAATATCATGCTTGGCCTTTTCAGTTTTCCTGGAGATCTTAGCACGTCAAGGATTATTTGGAGGCAGCCGGCAGCATCTCACACTTTGATATTCGGAACTCCCTTGATGCATGTTCGTTTCAAGTCTCTATTTCTATCCTTCTTGTTGACGTTTTGGAGGTTTCTGAGAATTTAGGTAAACATGAACAATTTTGGTCAAACTCTTTGATTTGTTGATCCTTGTGCTCAGGTCAAATCTTGATTTTTCGCTTTTGTGTGGATCTATGATGAATTTGTTCCAAAAAGTTCATGCAATTATTGTGTCAGAGTCTGGTTTGATGTATTTTCTTGGTGTTGTTACGATTATGGTCATGGTTAACATTGGGGTTCTTCAAACTCTTATCAATGTTATGATTCCAACTCTTGGTATGGCCAAAAATTTTCAATTTCATATGGAATGGTTTTGATCAGAAAACCAAATTTGAATATCACCCATTTTACAATTTCATGAATGGGATATTAAAGTGAGCCTGCATAAAAATTGATTGCATCACAATCTATATACAGCTTTCCTTTGTCTAGATTTTTGCGCTAATTGGTCTTGAAGAGCTCACTAATTGGCCTCCTTCTCTATTTGCCTTTATTGGTTGTTATCCTTCCATCAGTAGATCAAATCAAACAATTCTTGTTCTCATATAAGTTGTGTGGGCACTTTAATAAATAGCTCTCTAAATATTTTCATGTGTTTGGATTGAATTATGTTCCAAACCATTTTTGATGAAAGAATTTTTTCTCAGAAAATTATTCATCTTGCCTTGTATGGAAATTCCTTATGATGCTTTGTTTTTTTTTTTCGGCCAGTCTTATATTGCTTTCTTGAAATTCATATAAACAAGTAAACACATTTTGAAATATGATGAAAGATTGTCCTGATCTTCACCATAACTTTGAAGATCTATGTATGAAGCTATAAATAATTTATTCAAAAACTAGTGTTTTTTTTATTATCTTGTTTGAAATGCAAGATAACGCTTTATACCCTCCTTTGATGTTTGGTAACGTACTTCAGGACATGCTTGCGGCTCCAACCTTTTCGTTAGAAGCAAAACGGAAGCAAGCTGTTGGATTAAATGCTGTACAAGTTTACAGCTGCAAGTCCTTCATTTCATCATTTTGTATATCACTCAATCTCATATATTAATTTCTTGCCATTTTCCCTTTCTATATATTAATTTCAAGCTTTTTCTGTCTGTTTTTCCCTAGATGTTGTACCAGATGAAAGATCATTTGTCACCATCTTAACGCTGCTGCAAAATAGAAGGAACTGGTGGCTTCTCACGTTCTCAATTGTAAACATTTGCAATTCTACACTCCCCTAAATTGCCTGTCAAGCCATAATGCCTGATGAAGACCCTATTGACCATTTCTTTGGTTCTTCTGGAAGCAAGACCAATTCAAGCTCTAGAATAAAAGGCTTAAGCATGGTTGTAAGTCCTTTGTCTTCACTCTCTCCTTTTCTGGTTTTCTTTTTCCTTTATATTATATATTTTTATAATTGATGCCTTTTCTGGTCATATCATTTCCTAGATACCATACCACCTGGAGGATCACGTTGTTCCAAAATTTAAAACTGCAGCTAAGAAGACTAAAAAGAAAATAGCTCACTCTGGGAGTGAAGTAAAGTGGAATTGTAAATTTCACTCCACTGCAGAACCCCAGTCTTCTTCTGAATTTGCTTATATCATCTTCATCAACTCTAGAGTTGCCTAGGTTTCCTTGTGTAATATTTGTTGGCTCTATACTTTGTGTCTTGTCTGTTTTGTACTTTGTTCTTGTCTGTTAACAGAAACATGTCAAGAATTTCTCTTTGTATTAATCATTGAAAAGGTGCCAGATTCTGTTACCCTTAATTCCGCTCCAAAGTTGTTGAATGTATTTCCTTGTCTCAAAATTTTTTAAGTAAAGATATTTTATTTCGTGTAAAGCTCATATTTCCACCAAGAGAGCAATATATATATATATATATATTTATACACTTACTTAAGTAGCTTATATATATAGACAGCCTAGGGAATTACTGTAAGGAACTTAATTTGGAAGTTGAAAGATGCAGATTGGCTGGCCTTTATACTTACCTTAAGCAACTTGGGCTTTCCCCCATGAAACACTCCTAACCATAGGAAAAAGAACACATGAACACGATAGAGAGAATCAAAAAGAAACAAAACATTTGACGTTTGACCCTGCAAGAGCCAAATTTTGTAGTACATCATAAAAATCAACAAATAAGGAATGTGGAATTCACTCCAACACTTCAATTTGCGTTAATAGCTCTTCGTAACAGTTTCCATGAAGTTGACTGGTATAAATAAAGGGCATTTCTCTTCTTTTCATTTGAAGTTTCCTCGGCACCTTCCCTCTTCTTGGTATTTCTTCCTACTTTTCCATTTCTTTGCCCCACAGTCTATATACCTCTTCCATCAAGGTTCTACTTTTGGCAGGGGAATTTGTTTCTTTTTAATAGTAGGGCCTTTTCTTCAAGTATCAGGTAACTTTAATTTCCAATACCATGTTTCTTTTGACTATTATGAATTGTGAGAAAGTTCATGCCTGTTCGTGAAAAAATTTTCTGTTCTGCTCTTTTATTACTTGCTCACTTTTACTTGCATGTTGACCTCAGACTTGACATTGATTGTTCTTGATTAGGTTATTAACTTGTTTTTATATTATTCATACGCTTTAATTTTTTGGTCCCTTCATGCTCAAGATGCATGAATATTTTAATCAAACAATTAATTATGAACTGAAAAACCCATGTAATCTTTTAGAATTAAATGTTTAGATGGGGAACTTAAGTCAACAAAATATGCAGTTTAAACTGAAGTTGCTGGAACATTATTGAAAAGGGTTCTACTTTGGGAATTTGTTGTTACAATCAGTTAAAAATGAATATTGATATGTAAATTTCAAATTCTTTTGCAGGTACCCAGATTTCTGCTCAAGAAACCAGGCATACCTCTATACCTTTATCCAAAATAAGATTCTTCATTGTCTTAAAATGGGTATATTATTAAAAAATCTCATGTATGTGGAAATTTGGGTTATGAATGTTGACTCTTATAGACTTCTTTTTTGTTATTTTTATTATTTTTGGCAGCATTGGCCTGGGGTTTATGAGTAGGACTCTTTGAATTACATTATGAAATTACTTTTAACAAGAAGTAATAAGAAAATGAAGAATTTGTTCCCAAAATATCAGGTAACTTATTGACAATTGCTTGTTAGAAAATGTTGGAAATGGAACAGTCAAAATGCATGATCTTGTAAGAGATATGCCTGTACCCACCACCCAGGAGGTCTATTCATCATAAACCAATATTTCAATGAGAGCCAGAAGAACAAGGAGTAGGCGCCAGTACAGTCAAAATTTTTTCACTGAATTCACTGTTTCACTTCTTAACAAGAAGGTTTTTCCCCTTTGGACTAGAAATCTAAACTAAATGTTCTATAGAAATCTGGTTTCTACAGAAAAATCAACATTGAAAACTTCATTTTTCCACACACAAAAAAGAAAAAAGAACCAAATACTAGAATATGTATCTAGAAATGATACCATGTACAATTCAGTTATGAACAAATTAGAATTAAACCAATTTGAACTTTCTTCAGTCACTTTTTTTGACATGATAAAATGAAGACATCAAAGTGTTGTTTGGTCTTTTGCACATGTAATCTAATAGACATCAAACCTATCATCTGAACTTGCTTGGTCCACATCCTTGAAACGGAATCGACAATAATTCAATCATTATAGCAATAGTATTACTATTGTTTCACACATTTTGCTGCTATTACAACACTTATCTCATTGGAATCTGAACATTTCGGCTTCTTTTTATTTTTTTTTTCACACTTCTAATTCGTAAGACGGTAGTAATAGTTTAAACTACCTATTAGGCTCTACAAACAAAGTAGACAATTTACTCAAGATCAGAGTCAAATGTCAAAACAAATTTTTAAGATGATATAGCAAAAGGAAATACCTTTGAAGTAAGAGACTCAAGCCGCCATAGTGACTACTTCCTCTTTGGCAGGAGTTTTAGCTTCATCTACAACAAAAGCATCATTATTATTACCTGAAATAACATATGCTAGGGAACCAAAAATCATGGCAATTTGAAATTTGATCAAAATTTTAAACACCGGCAGCAGCAAGGAGGAAGTAAGAGAGATGTCAGATAAAGACTATAAACTAAAAGGATATTATGTTCAACGTGCATTGAAAATAAATCTACCTTCACCCTCAGAAAGTCTACTTCTAAGATATCTCAACAAAGCAAGGAATAGGGCCAGAAACCAGTGAACTGCAGGGAAAAAGAATATCAGTTGATAAAGCCATGACTAACACAAGCACTGAACTTATACAACAAAAAACTCCCTCAATGTCTCAAACCTCCTTGGAGTTCGCAAAGGGTTTCCACTGAGCAAAAGTTTTCAAAGACTAGTCATCTTGCCTAGACAGAACAACAAATTAGATTGAGTAAAATACATTCATCATGAATATCAGAGAGTCAAAACAAATTTACATTGTTTTTGCCACCTGAATGTAAATGGGGGCAAGTTTGAAAAAAATAGATTTAGTCAGTGAAACTCATGATATAAAGAAGTTAAAGATCCAATTATTGCACAACCTACAGAACAAGATACAGCCACTCTTAAATAAAACTGTTATTAACATGTTAGACCATAACAAAGGTTATATGCAGTCTACCTGTTTACAAGGAAACCCATTCATTGCTTCGACAAGCCTTGGTCTAAAAATAGGGCGGCTTGTATCTCTAAGGTCACAACAAAAAGATGACTTGTCTCTATATGTGAAAACCTGCAAAAGTAATTGGTGACACAATATGATTATGGCAACCATTTGATAGCCTGATCACATATGTATTTCATTGTTGACAAACTATAAAATATGCATGCATCGATAAAGTTGTGACTCCAAGGAATTTGGGTGTGTAACATATAACATTACCCAAAACAGTACAACTTTATATACATTAAATGCAATGATCACAAAGCATGTTCAAAGATGAGAAAACATGTTTATAGGGCTGTATAACAATCAAGCAAGATGACCTTGTTTCATGCCAAGCTTGATTAGAACTCACCTGAGCTCATTCAACAAAGTGTGAAGTTTGGCTGAAGTCTGCTAATTTCAAGCTTTTCACCTGAGCAAATCGACTTCAACCAAAGGCCTGCTCAACTAATCAGTCATCAGAGCCAACAATGCAAACTCATAGATGGCTATCCATACTCTAAAATAGCTCACTATATGCCCAACTCAGACTCAGCAAATTTATATGCTCCGCTTTCTAGCCTAGATTCAGTTCACTTCTGCCCTTAATTTAATATATGAAGGCCATAAAGAGGTTGCTACCATCAAACATCTTTCCCCCTCAAATCCCCAGGAAAATATTCTGTTAGGTCCACATTTTCATGAATTAATTATCAAATTTTATTTGAATCAAGATAGTAGCAATTGATCCAGCACTTAATACACTAAAATACTTCCCCTGTTCAATGAATAAGAATTAGAGTGATTAAGTCTAGATTTCAGAAAGATGCATCTTAGGTACTCGAATTTAAGTTAAATCTCTCATTAGACAGCACTAATTGTTCAGTCAATGCATTAAGAACCCAGACAACCAAACTATGCATTAGAAAGCATGCCAACGTGCTAAATGGTATGTTACATACCAATGTATTTGCAATTCACATTTGCTACCATGTCCATGACAAATAGTAGTTAAATAGGTATTCACTGGATGTAGCTCTAAATAGTGATCTTTGAATATATTTACTCAGAGGTAAAAAATGCAACCTCGCCATTAATCATAACACTTACTGATGTTATCAGCATTCAAGTCAGGTAACAGTTGACTTTTTCAAATGCAGCTAGATCAAACGTTCACAACCACATCAAATGCTAACAAGCATAAGAAATTACAAAGAATTGACATCACCTGCTAGAGAAAGATAACGTGTGGCTCCTATACAAAATGCACCCTGTGTATGCTATTGCTAACTAAAAAACATGGCAAACAGAAATGAGTAACAAACCTCTCCAGACTATAAAATAAATGTGGCATGATTCTGAGAATAACACCTGGATCACATTAGGTGGACAAGGGAAGTTAATCCTTGTAAATGCTACACATTGTGTTGTTTCAGGACCATGTCCGAGGACACTACACAAACTAGAACCACAAGAGTACATTGATGAGTTGCTAATTGACAATGTGTGATACATTCCAGTTGTTATCTGCATCTGGTAAATCTAACTGACAATGAGTGTTGAGCAACCAGAACTCTTTTGATAGCAGCATCTATAACAGGTGGATGCAGAAACATAAGAGATCTAAATATGCTACGGACATGAAGCAAGACATATAACCTTCAATCACAACTTTTCATCCTTTCTTCTCCAATAGGCCAACATTTCAAATTCATCTAAATTGCTTTTGGCTTCTTCTTGTGAGCTCAAATGATACTCCTTTTCTTTTTCCGGATATTATAGAATAGTTTAACATCATATTTCCTCACCAAAACTCTACTAGCAACTACAACACAATTCAGCTTGATAGAAAACTAAAACCAAGATCATACCAGAAATAGAATTTCGTTTTTCTAGCAAAAAAAATACCATAACGACTATCAAACAACCAATTTTTAAAGCTGGCTAAAAATGCAACCCAACTAAGTGCTCAATAATCCACTGTTAACACAGGGTGGAATTCGGTCAAATTTCAACTTAACCATAAGTTAAGCCTTCGTTTAGTCATTGCTTTTATTACTTACTTTATGCTATTTCCTTCTCGTTACTTCAAAAATTGCTGTAAACCATAATCATTAGTTAAATCTTAATTAATTCCATATAAAACTAAACCACGCATTTCCTTTTATACCTAAACTTGA